GAAATTATATTGGCCCCTTTAATCTTTGGTTATACTTTCCTTTTGGGTGTTTAAGGCCATACAGTTGGCCCAGATAAACCAATTTATTTTTACTCTTAAGGTCGTTTGAGGATCTATTCCTCAGGGGTCACATGGGCTTGGGAGGAGCCCCTGGCTCCTTTCTTTTACCAGTTCCACCTATGTGAAGATAAGTCAAAGGTCCTGCTTGACCATGGCTGGCTTCGTTTGGAAATATGGAGGAAATGATTTCTCTGTGTTGACCCTCCTCCTTGTAGACTGGACACTGGTCCAGGTCCATCTCATAGGGTCTCCTCTGCCTCCTTGAGGACTCACCACAATTACCGGACATTTTGAGAGATGCTCATAGTCCCCAGGAACTAATCGACCTAGGAGGGCTAGGAGCAAAAAGCGTCCTTTATGTCCCTCTGACCAAATTAGTATAGGCCTCAAAGTATGTCTGTTAAACAACCAAGAAGGTTAGTTCCACCAGTCTGGTACTTTTAATTACTGTGTGTCATATAGATAAATCTTGGGCAAAGACGAATTGTTCTCAGATAAACCTTACCTAGACATATATTTCTTGATCTGCTATGTATGATTTGTCAGTAGGTTGTTGGAGTAATATGGTTCCTGCTGGTTTTTAAAACTAGCAAGACATTGTTTATCTCTCACATTGTCTCACCCCTCCATCGTGGTTTCCCCAACTTAAGGTGCCCCCATTTCCCCCCTTTCTCCCTTAATAATTCCCTTCTCCCACAGCCCTACCTCGCTTGAGCTCCTTCTTTCCCCTTATCCCCTTACTTCCCTGTTTCCTTTCCATTATCCTGATTCCTGTAGTTATGTCTGGATACATACTCACTTATCAGGGTTTGGCTGGGAAGAGTGGCTGGATAATGCAGTGAGGGTCCAATAACCCTGCTTGGCCCTCCTTTAATGAATGAGCACAACCATCAACAAGCCCAATTGTGACAATGTTTAGCGATCAGGCTCAGCTGAAGTCATGATGATGGTAATTATTTCATGCAGAAGGGACTGCTGTACAGCATCATTTTATTAAAAAGAGCTGGAATTTAAAAGGATTTGGTGCTCGGATCCACATATGAGGGAGAACATGTCATTTGTTTTTCTGAGTCTGTGGTACTTCCCTTAGTACAACAGTTTCTAGATCCATCCATTTACCTGCAAATTTCATTATTTCATCTTTCTTTACTGCTAAATAGAACTCTATTGTGCAAATATACCACATTTTCATTATCCACTTGTCAGTTGAGGGGCACTTAGGTTGCTTCCATTTTTTAGCTATTGTGAAAAGAGCAGCAGCAAACATGGTTGTATAAGTGTCTCAACAATAGGATGAGTCCTTTGGGTATATACCAAGGAGTGGTATAACTGGATCATGTGGTAGGTTCATTTTTAGTTTTTCAAGAGTTCTCCACACTGTTTTCCATAGAGGCTGCACAAGTTTGCAATCCCACCAGTAGTGCATGAGCATTCCCCTTTCTGCACATCCTCACCAGCATTTGGTATCATTTGTTCTCTTGACCCTAGCCAGTCTGATTGGGGTAAGGTGATACCTTAGGGTGGTTTTAATTTGCATTTCCCTAATTACTAACAATATTGAACACTTTTTAAGATGTTTCTTAGCCATCTTTATTTCTTCCTTTGAGAACTCTCTGTTTAGATCTTTAGCCCATCTT